ATCAACTCACACCAGCAGATTTGCAATATCGCAGGCTCAACGTTACCAAGGATCAAGATCTCCCTCTCTCCCTCCTGCCCGCCCGCCCGCCCGCACTCTCTTTTGAACTGCCCCTCAAAGCTTTCCAGGCTTGCACCTGTTCTTACTAGTTTGTCCGATGCTCACGCTCGCACCTATATAATCTTATTGTTGGCCATCAATTAGAAGGAGCGACCATTCAGGGACTGAGGCAGCAAACCCAGGTGGAATAGTCATGCGATCAACACCTGCCAGTGCCTGACGTTCAAGTCCAGAGTCAGAGCTGAAATACAATGAAACTACACGAAACTCAAGGATTTACTGCTCCAGGAGTGATTGCTGTCTATGTTCGTTGAACACGTGATGGCAGTCCACTACAAGCCCCGTTGGCTTGAGTCTATGTACAGTTCTGCAACGATATGCTGAATGCCCTGTTTGGGGTCAGCCTCTGCCTGAGGCACCTAGACAGGAGATGCCGGTGACTACGCGAAGCCACTACGTTCGGTCCAAGTGTGACTGCAGTGAAGGCATGTGACGAAGGTTACCATCGTTTCCACTGGCTCCCCGCCGGATCGCACACAGCTCTCCACCGCTGCACTCTGCGTGTAGGCTGTTCTGCTGCCACTGCACTTTTCACAAACAAACCTGTCAGTAATGCTGTGGCTTGCAGGCCGAACAGCAGCAGCCTCAAAGGCTTCTTGTCGAAGCTGGGCACGCTCAGCGTTCTTTTTCGAACTTGCCATGTCTTCAGCAGTTAGGCTTGGCAGTTGGCTTATTCTCAGTTCACCATCCAATAAGCGCCTAGCAAACTCGTTTGATTCATCTTTGATGTTATAGAGGAGTGACCTGGCCTGGCTGACATATTTGCGGCCCTCCAGCTTCGTGAAAAGGACGCTTTCAATTTCAGCTGCCAGCATTAAGATTGAACGACAGCTGCTAACATTTGGTCGTCCAGAACACGTCGAGGCTGTGGACAATGCTTCAGACAGTTTTTCAACAACTCGGAGCCGTTGCTTCGTCAAGCGCGGAACAGCAGCGACATCGTCTGGGCTTCGCGAACGTTCTCTCCTCGAGGTCTCCGGTCGCGATGAACTCCTCCCCTCGTGAAGGCCCTGTTGCCACGTGCTCACAAGTTCACTGCATAATGTCTTTGTGGTTTCAGGTATCTTTGCATCTTTTCCAAGAACATCCACGGCAAGACCAACAAACGTCTCAGCCAAAACCTGCTCCTGCAAAACTCCAAGCTCCTGCAGCCCGCGCAAGGCCTTTAGAATTCTGGACTGGTCGGAAGCCAAAAGCAGAACATCTCGGAGCTCCTTCACTCTCAAGATTTGGTCCATTGCGGGCACGCATTGACATAAATGTCATGTCTCTCCCAGCGAGGACAGGTGACCATCCATGATTGAATTGTGAATGAAACGAACGTGAAAGTGTATCATTGGCCGATCTCAGATGCTCACACTAGCGAGTATGAGGCTTCATCTTTCATTGTACCAAAGCTGGAACATGTGCCAACAATTGGCAAGACTGAGATATCATGCATGATGCAACAACATCTGCCACTTGTATCTGCACAGAGTCATTCCCACCTCTATCTCATCCAAGTCATGGCCAGCTCCCCTGAAGCAAAGCGGCTTTGTAGCTTTACCACTAGGAACAAGAAGCTATTAGGAACCCGGGCATCGCTACTAGGAGCAAGGACGCTACTAGGGGCT